TATTCAAATAGCATTTATTTAAAATGTTAACAAGTAATTGATATAGTTCACGTATAAATAATGTAAATAATATAAATAAATAGTGTCTTAAACCAAACATCAAAAGGTGAAAACAAAGAAAAAAAATGACAACGTAAGCTATATATAACAACAAAAATGCATATGAGAAGTTTGTTTCATGTCCAAAAATATGTATAATTTGTTGGTTTAATATAAAATAAACTTTAATTAATATGAACTAAATAATTTTATCATGAATTAAATTCATAAAACATGGGCTAAACTATTTTTTTACTACTATATATATATTTAGACAAAACAAAAAATTAAGACTGGGTTGGAGCCCGGGTGAGCCCAGCCCTGTCTACGCCCCTGATATCTTCTGTGACACATGTGCATCCACGTAAGATAAAACGAGGGGAGTCACCACCTATCAGTGAAATTCAGTGACTTGTAAGTAATTGGACACGATTCTAGTTTTAACAAGTTACTGTCCTATTTGCTAAACGGGGAAAAAAAAAAACAAAACAAAAGGCAAAAAAGAAGTTTAAGTTGAATTGGCGGTCTTCCGTGGCATGTGTAGATCCACGTGGGATAAAATTAGGGTAAGTCAACACCTACCGGTGAATTCGATAACTTGTAGGTAAATTGAGCATTAATTCTAGGTTTTAATAAGTTACTGTCATATTTTGCCAAACAAAAAAGAAGCTGTCTATATTTATCACATGACACAACTTACAAGACAACAAAATAAAATTTTGCCCTATAGTATTGCACGATGTTAGTACAGAAATATAATGTTTGTAATAAATATTATCGACAATTTCGTAATTGAATTAAAATTATTTTAAAAAGTTGTATTATAATATAACTAGTACAACACCCGTGTATTACACGGGTGCTTGCTAATTTTTTTCTTAAAATTTAAAATTAATGAGAAAAAGTAGTTTGAAATTTAAATACCATTTATAAGAATATATATATATTATATATTTATTATGATACTTTTTATTTGTGCGACTTACTTGTGTTATATTATACTAATTCTTTAACTTACACTATATAAATACATTAACTATAAATATAACAATTGAGAAATAATTTTATTTTTCTAATGAATTTTAATAAATATTATTATTTTTTATTATTATAAAGATAAATATAATTTATTTATTTTATATATACAATATGGATGTCAAATCGAAGATCATCAAAAGATGATTAATTTGATATATTATATATGTAAAACCGATAAGAAATATAAAAGTTATATACTTTTAAAATACATTTATAATTCAATAGCTTATTGAAGGAAACAAATCAAAATTTAGAGATATATTAGTCACTTAGTGTCTCACTATGTAAAATTACAAATAATTAAAGGGTTATATTAGTAAAAGTGATATTAAAATACCTAAGTTAGCTAAATAATATTTATGGAATACCCGAACATAGATTATTAATTATTAATATATTAATATTATTTGTCCAAACCTAATTACGAAGCATGATTTTTCGCCAAATAGGATTCCGAAGCACCAGAAACAGCCACATAGGCTCAGCGCATTCTGCAATTATATATAGGGAGGATTATAGTAATTTATGTTATTATAGTCATTTCCCTTCATCTATTATTATTCCAAATACCATGCGTCACATGAATGGAACCAACTTGAAAGTAAGATACCACAACTTTCAATTATAACTAGTGTGTATCCCTGCGATGTACGGGTAAACAATATTAAATATTTATTATAAATAAGTATCGAGTTCGAGTCACCCAATGCAATAAGTGGGGAATCACTATTAATCCTCTCTTAAAAAGCAAGAAAAAATAAAGATGAAGATAAACGATATTAAATAATAATTATAAATCAACGATGTGGGGTTAACATGTCATACAATTTATGGTATATCATTTTATTATAAATGATATAAAATTAGCTTGTTCAAAAGAACATAAAATATGTATGTTGAAACAATTAAAAACTCCTAACATATTAGCTTTATTTTATATTGAATGAAGACTAAGACAATTTTTTTTTTTTTAAAAAAAAACTGTCTATTTTCAAAACTATCCTCTTGATTTTTGAAACAATACATTTGTAATTTGACTTAATTAAAATTCTCTAATTTGTGAAAATGAAAATGTTACAACCCATTCTTGCGCAAATAAAATATTGACGATTTTATAATTAGATTAGTTTTGTGTTATTTTTATATATAAAAAACTATAAAAAGAATAGAATAAAAATAATTTATATTTTGATTATTAAATAAACTCTAATTTATTTTATTTAAAAATAAAAGCATCCGATTAAAACAATTATAGTACCCGAGTGATGTTAAAAGAGTTTCTGATTTTTTGTAAATACTAACTTAAATTTATATTATTAAGTTAGGCGTAATTTATTTTTTTAATAAAGTAAAATTTGCAACGTGGTACACAATTATATGTTAAAGAAAGTTTTTTTTTTTTTTAAATTTGTGAAAAATGAAAAAGGAACAACCTAATCTTGAGCAAAAATAAGTAACAAACTTCACTTAACAAACTCTACATTTAAATGTAACAATTAATGATGCACATTTGTATATATAAAAAATAAAAACTTGCTATTAATAGCATGCAATTAATGTTTAACCATATTTGACTACAGTTTGACTTGCCATTTTTAAAAAATAGTAATTCTTTTTATATATATATATAGATATCCAGTTATGCTCATCTGACTATCTCCAATACAATATTTATATAACTTTAGAAATTCAATGAATTAAGTGATGAAAATAATACAATAAGGTAGTAATATTCTTCTTTTTTTTTCCTCCTTGGGAGTTTTTTCTTCTTGTTATTGTGGGTGTGTTTAGTGTGTTGTGTTTAGGTTGGGTTTAGGTTACCTCGACTTGTTGGCTATAGGGTTAGTCCTCCCAACTAAATTCAGTTGCGTAAACTTATTCATTCAGTTGCGTAACTGACTTATTCAGCTATTTAGTTGTTCTCTAGTATGTATTAATTATTTGTTTTCCATGAAAAATTTATCATTTGAAAAAAAAAAAGAAAAAAAAAGATTGAGTTGTCTATTAAATTTGGTAAATGATTTATCTTTAAAAAAAAATTACAATACATATACTTGCACCGATAATTTAATGAAATAAGCAATATGGATTGTATGTTTTTTAAATAATTACATAAAATTTGTAAATCTACATCGTATTTTATAGTATGGGTTGTGTATGTACCTTAAATTACTTAATATGTAGTTGTCGGTTGTTGATTTATGCATTTTAAAATTTCTTGAGTAAATATTTGAAAGTCTTAAACTATATAAATATTCATTTCTACTTTTATAAAACTATAATTACGTTCAATCTCTTTATATACTTTGTTTAAAGTGATATATGATTTATAGAATATTTATTTAGCTAAAACTTAATTTCCCTAATGCAGAGTTTCCCGAATCTGTATGTCAACTCCTGATGCTTAGTAATTCTATGTATCGAATTATGCATGTATAAGTTTGTGTGTATAATGATTTAAAGTTTGTGTATATGCTTTGTAATCCTATGTATTGTAATCGACTTATGCATTCTACATTGTGTATAGTTTATATACATTATATTTGACTAGTTTTTCTATAATCCCAATTGTTGGCTCCATAAGAAAATTATTGATCTGGAAGTGATTTATATTTTATGCAAGTTTGATATGCACATACGCGTGCGCGTGTGCACACACATCTCATTAATTCATAGTCGAAGATGCAATTATTGTATTTCTAGATCTTCACTGTAAATAGCAGTAAATATTCTGGTAGGTTGATACATTATTTAATAAAGCTTAGTATTTTTTGT